CCCTAGGGATCCTGGAGGGGATGGACCGAAGACAGTGACCAAGCCATTTGTCTCGTGCCATCCCTCTCCAGATTTCCACAAACCTTGGGCAGGGACACCACTGCTACCCCCTGGCTAATACCACTCCATGGACCCAACCTCCATCACTTTATCTCACTTCTCTTTAAACTCTGTTCTAGTTCTAGCCTTCACAGCCTCCTGCAGCAAGGAGTTCCACAGGTTGACTCTTTGCTTTGTGAAGAAGAACTTTCTGTTACTAGTTTGAAGCCTGCTACCCATTCCTTTCCTTTGGTGTCCTCTAGTCCTTCTTTATGGGAACTAATGAAGAACTTTTCTGTATGCACCCTCTCCACCCAACTCCTGCTTTTAGAGACTTCTATCCTGTCCCCCCTCCGTCTCCTCTTTTCTAAGCTGAAAAGTCCCAGTCTCTTTAGCCTCTCTTCATATGGGACCTGTTCCCAACCCCTGATCATTTTAGTTGCCCTCCCCTCTCCCAGCCTCTCTCTTCCCCTCTCCCACCTCCTTTTCCCAGTCTCCCCCAGTTTTGTTCAATAAAGACAGATTCCATTTTGGAAGACATGTTATCTTTATTTTGTACATCAAGAAAAGGGGCTTGGGAAGGGTAAGTGGAAGGAGGTGAGGGAGGAATGGGGTACACACCCCCGATGGGGAGGACTGGGCTGTTTCTGTGGGCTTCTGGGGGTGGAACCTCTCCTGCAGCCCCCCGATTGTCCCCTCTCCCCAGATGGCAGCCTGCGGCAAGTGCAGCCAGTCTGATGGCCGAGTGCTGTGATGTGCCCAGTGTGGGTTGTCCAGGCACTCCAAGCCAGGACTGCTTTGCAAGCGGGGAACCCTGAGAACTGTCTGTCCTGGGTGGGGGTCAGGACCCTTTAAGCACAGCCCTCGGCTAGCCTGAGACAGCATCTCCACGCTCTAAGTCCTCCTCTGATGCCCTGCCGGCACTGCTTCCGGCCATCCTTAAGCCCGGTTCAGGGTCCACTTAATGTGGACATGCTAGTTTGAATTAGCAAAACGCTAATTCGAACTAGTTTTTTAGTCTAGATCCGTTAGTTCGAATTAACGTTGTAGTGTAGACATACCCTAACAGAGCATGGTGCTACTCCATTTATTAGGCTCAAATGTCAACTATACCTAGTCTCAGTCATTATACTCCTCGGAATCCAGTGGGTGTTGTCCTTGAGTCAGATGTTGCACAGTTAGACCCTTGAAACTTTTAAACCACTGCAAATGTGGGAACTAACAGAGCTGCTAAAATCATAAAGTCTCTACCCCAATAAAAAATCACTGCATTGGGCTGGTGCTTTTGGTGTGGAGAAAGCAGAGAAGGGAGATTTTGAGGCCCCATTAATTAATGGATTGGTCTAAAATAAAACATTTAGGTTCTTTTTCACTCTTAACTTAAATAAATTAGATTCTTCCTAAAATTAAGGAAGGAATGCTTAGCCTTGGTCTCAGTCTCTCCAAGAAAACAAGCTCCTTCCTGGGAAATACTACCCAGTGCTAGATACAGTACCCACCTTCTCTTAAAATTGAGAATATGTTTTTTCCAGGCTGGTTAGCATAAAATTCCTAGTGTTTTGATTACAGCAGTATGGCAGCCAGAACTAGCTGGAATGCATTTGGGAGAATGAGGCAAAAGTTTATATTCTTGCAGATGTGATCCATATTTCCAGAGTCTCAGTCTTGTCAGCTGTACACACTGTCCACTAGATTATTTCAAATAATATTAAATATTTCAAATAATATTAAAGAATCTACCTTTTAGATCAAAGAGCTTTGTAATATACATTGCAAATAATATTTAAAAGAATCTACCTTTTAGATCAAAGAGCTTTGTAATATACATGGCAGTATTAAATTAAAATCAAATCTTTGTGTTCAGATTTTAAGAAACGGCAAAAAGGAGTCATATTTCATTGGTTTAATTCTGAGTGTTGATCAACAGTTTATGTAAGTAAGCAAGCAATATCTAATTTTATTCCACGGAGTATTTAACATCTCATATTTAGTGCATTGATTCATAAAAGGGCTCAGTATGGTGCACACTCACTGTCAATATATCCTCTTATATCCTGGCCACCTGTTGCACTGGTTTTAGTCTCCAGCAACCATGATTGCTTCTGTGTGCAATTAAGCTCCCTGGCTGAGATGCATTTAAGTTAGAACACTTTCAGGGTATGTCTATACTAGCCCCCTAGTTCAAACTAGGGAGGCTAATAAGGGCAACTGAAGCGCGGGATTTAAATATCTCAAGCTTCATTAGCATGTTCCCGGGCAGTCGCCATTTTGGAAATTGACTAGCCCAGAAGAACTGCCCACATCTACACGCGGCAGAGAAAGGCAATTCCAAAATAAACCCCTTACTTCAAATTTAATTATGGTTTAAACAAATTACATCTTAATGAAGGAGGTTTTTTAATTGGAACGTAAATGCTATGAATACAGAGATAATTGCCATGCAAAATAAAATGCATATAGAATTCCTGAGCTTAAGAGCTTAAGCTCAAGGCTTTAGTTATGTTTAATCCTAATGGACGTTGAGCCCAAAGTCACACATGCAAAGCAGTGAATGTACTT